CGAAGATAAAAGCTTCATCTTAATAAGTATCTTTTCCAACTCAGCTGAGAAAAGCCCACACAAGTTTTGTCCTCACTTTTCAGGATGGCTTCTGATTTCCAAAAATGCCAAGTGACCAAGAAGATGTTGCTGGCTCAGATGGAGCACTCATAGGTGGCTCTGGTTGAATGGGGAAGAAAAGCAACACCTGGGGAGCAGGGAGGGTTGGCAGGGGTCGTAAAATCTGGGTGCTTCATTAGAGGCCCTTTTCAGTGGAGCATATAAACACGCATCTCGGTTGCAGTGATGTTAATGGGATTTAAACACGTGCCTAAGCACTGTCATGAGCAGACCTGATTTGTTCACATAAGAGCCTAAGAGAACTTTTCCTTTCTTCATGCACCAGAACCTCTTTAAAATCAATGTGTTTATGCATCCGTGCACATAAGGAAGGAGATTTACCCTTCAAAAATCCACACTTTTATTATTAGAATATATTCTAGGTAAGCAAGCCAAAAGCACTTTGACAGTTTTGACCCTCTTCACACATTTCTTCACTTGGAGAAGCTTATTGTTTTTCTCTTGTTGTCACTAGGCAAAATATATGATGCCAGGTGCTAATAAAAACAAACAAACAGAGGGAGAAAAACAGAGAGAGAGGGAGAGCAGAAAATTTTCTGATTTGGCATGTAACAAATGACCTGGAACCTCTTTTGTGATCATAGCAAACGGCGAGAAGACTGGGAGCGATCAATCTTCGTGCGACTAAAAGAGGGAGGCTACAGGCTGCGGGAGAACATCCTGTTCCATCTGTACGTGAGCACTTCACCCTGCGGAGACGCGCGCCTCAACTCCCCCTACGAAATCACAGCCGACTGTAAGAAAAAAAATATCTTCCCTCTCCTTTTTCCTCTTTGCGTGGTTTTTTTCCTTTTTCTTTTTTTTTAAGATCAGCCCTTCTTTCTTCGTTTGCTTGCAGAAAATGTGTTTCACTCAAGAGCAGGAACACTGCAAGCTGTGTGGTGGGTGTGTGTCTGTGCGACCAGTGCTTGGTCCCGCGTGCTGGGGGAAGGTGTGCAGGGAAAATCACAGCTGGGCAAGGCAGTGGGAGACTGCTCTGCGTGCCTGAGGCTCAGTGGCTACGCTAGGGAATACATCCCCAACAGCCTAGCAGGAAATGCAACCCTAACAGTAAATAAATGCCTTGGGAAGGGTCCTCACAATCTAAGAGATACTTGGAGCCACGGCCATGGGCTGGACCAGAGGATCAGGTCTCCAGCTGGGGATGCATGGACTTTTCTCAAGGTTTAGGCAGTACATATGGGTTGAAGGGTGGCATTTACACCAAACCTGGTGCAGTGCCTGGAGTCTGAGGTAGAGCGATGATATGATACAATATGATACAATATGAATAGGTACCCATCCAGAGGGACCTGGACAAGCTGGAGAAGTGGGCCTGTGTGAACCTCATGAGGTTCAACAAGGCCAAGTGCAAGGTCCTGCACCTGGGTCAGGGCAAGCCCCGGTATCAATACAGGCTGGGGGATGAAGGGATGGAGAGCAGCCCTGCTGAGAAGGACTTGGGGGTACTGGTGGATGAAAAGCTGGACATGAGCC